TATATTTGTCTCAGATCGCGGTAATGATTAGTGAAGGATACTCTTGAATGCTGGATAGCAAGCGACAGAAACAAAAACATTTACACTCTAGATCAACGGTTATAAATCATACGTATTACAAACCTTACCAGTAGCTACGGTCATCAGTCGATTAGTCAGTGCTTCAGTCCTTCTACTCAGACTGCACTTACCGCCTAAGTTAAGAGTGAATTAGATCGGAATTGGTTAAACCATGATGCATAGTCCGTTTGTTACGGTTTGGTGGGTCCTGCCGTGTACCCTAGCTGTATGCTCGACTGCCAAACATTCTGCACCCTACGTATCGGCCCGTCCGCTCGACACGGTGACTCTGAACCAAATACTGTATAAAGAATGCACGAGATTATACCCTTTTGCTCAAATGTGCGGCTGGATGGGCGACCGCTCCCACCCCCGCCGCATCTGCGTCTCTTCCGCGCTCACCCTTTCTGATTACTCTCTATCCTCAACCAGGTCACGAAACTCCGTCTCCCAGCCGCCTATCTGGTTGAATCAAAGGACAAGTTTCTGTGCTGACTACTTAAACATAGAGATTACATGAAATAATACTAATGAAATTACAGCTCTAGAGTTACTACTACTCAAACTTAGATCCCGACGTTTATAGGCTTAATCTACACATTACTGTTCTAGTTTTCCACTCACTGGGAGGCAAGCAGCTAAGTCCTTTTAAGCGCTGCAATCCAAGCTTTATTCCCGCAACATTGCTCATCTACAAACAAAATAACTTTCTGGCGCCATCGCGCTTTTGACACAAAAGATACCCCAGCTCTACTGCTCAATGAGGGACCTCTACTGCGGGAGCTGCTAGAAACGAGGCTAAGCCTGATACAGTGATGCATCGATAAAGACGAGAATCAGAGATAATACTGTTACCAACGTTTTTACCACTCTTGGTCGCGCCCCCAGCCGTGGTGGTCCGGCTGCGAATACAGTATGCACGATCGATTACAGCAGCATACAGCGCTCCTGGCCAAACTTACGAGAGACTGTCGCATCGTGGAGCCGCGACACCAGGCTTCATACACTATCCATTCGTCTTGCCAGCCTTTCCATCTCTTCTTTCAA